ATGTAGAGGAAGGCAGTCGTGCCTTTCAGGCAGTTGTTTAAGAATCGACCGTCATGTAACAGTCCCCGCTGCCAGACTGCGAGGACAAAGTTCTTGGTGGCATCATGAGACGTGAGCAGGTTCATCAGTTTCTCGACGACAAGCAGTATCACGCCCTCATGATTGGTTGTTGACTTAGCATATTCATATTTCTTTAAGTTAGAGCACGGAATGATGCCCAATTAATTAATATTCCGAGCGCAGTCTGCACCTCCACGTAGGGAGAAGCGAGCGATTAATGCTACATGGCTAATGGTTATCAATGGTTAATTCACTTCTAAAAGTGCTTGCAGTACCTGTTAGAAATAATGGTTGTGCCTTCCAGAGAAGTTTCCTCAGGGTCTATGCACTCGTTTTATATTAAAGCATATAAAATCTATTGCATTTATGTAAGTGTTTTTATTTATTTAAGTAACTTATTACAGAAGCAAGAAATACACAGCCACTGTAATATCAGAATATTTGCAACAGCCTCAACGTGGCGATTCACTTGTAAAATGGATCATACTCTGTGCACTTACGCGGTATCCGGAAAGTTCGCCGACTGGAAATATTCACCGACCAGCAATTCGTCGAACGGGAAATTCGCCGATTTTACAATTGATCGCCGATAATTTATTTATAATGGTCATAAACCAGTATTATTTAGAAATAACATAGTTGAAAGATTATGTTAATGAGCAGAATAATTACCATAATATTACCTACTGACAGAAAAACAAATTGTATCTAACGCATTTATTTAGAAATGGCATATTTGAAAGATTAGTTAATGAGCACAATAATTACCATGCTTCATCCTTATATAAAGCCTCAGAAAATTCACAGAGGTCAGTTTCGAAAAGTTCTTCGAGTATGATACTTCAGTTACGAATCTTTATTAACCGTCATGGCCCTTCAGTTCGTCACGAGTGAAAAGGGAAGACAGAAACGTTTAGTGGAAGGTCACTTATTTTTCAAAGAAAAACAAGCTGACAAGGCATATTGGAAGTGTGAGATGCATCATAAGCACAATTTCCGGGTTCATGTAATAACAGTTGGATATGCCATTGAGGCCGTGAAGGGAGTTCGCAACCACATTCGGGATGCAGCTCATTTAGAAGCTTTGAAGATGGAGGATATTGTACGTGATCATACAATAAATAGCACCACATATATTTAATTGCGTTTGTGGGACTTTGTGGGCAAGCTGCTGCAGGATATATTGCGAAGAACGATTCGAAGCATCGGAACAAGGAAATGAGCAGCACCAGATTTGCCTATGAGCCGACAGAAAATTTTATTTCCCGAGGAGTACAAGATATCTAAACAAGGTGAACCGTTCTTCCTG